CCGGTGTTCTCCAGATAAACGTCCGCTGATGCCACGGGCAGCGAAGGGCAGAGTACTAAGTAAGCCACGCTATGGCCCCACTCACGAGTTTCACTCACCCCTCAAGCACAGAATATCAAGACTACGTCAGCCACCATCATGTTTGATTTGTAAAAATATCTGCCTGATATGAGATGCGTCCTGCTGGGGCAAAACAGAAAAAAGAAGAAAGGAAGACTTACCATTTTCCAAGTGCTCGCAAAAATCTGACTCATAAAAGGGTGACTGAGATGCAGATAACCTGGCTGGAATTCACAAATAAAGAGGGCCAACCCTAGAACTTAAGTAGCTTTTAAAACAGGGTAAAATAATGTGAAAGTTGCAGAAAAATATACATCCTGTTTTCTAAAAGAAGATGATAAATGTGCAGCAACGAACGAGGATGCTTGTGGCAATACCACCTTCACATATTATCACATCTCTTTTAGTGGATTTTAGGGCAGACTGAGCGTTGTCTCTTGTTGTGACATTATGAAAATGGTCGTAGTCACAATAACCGAGAAAGACATTGTTAACTGTTTTCTGTGAACTTACGACCTCGAGCTTCTCGAAGAGGCACAGAATCACTTGTGTCCTCCTCTCCCAGTCTTCGATCGCAAAGAAAAAACAAAGGGACTAAAAGAAGCGGATATAACTTGCCCCCCTCCCTCCTTTTTTTTTTTGTAGAAATGTTTTGTTTGGATTTTTTTACATTGTTGTTAGGGTCTAAAAAGAAATAGATTCAGGGGAACGGTGTTGTAAAACAAAGAAAGCATTGCGGAACTGAAGAGTGCCAAGCCTTTCTCTGCGCTGGTCAACTCGTGTGACAGTGTCACTGCGCTCGACATTACCAAAATAAAAACAATCCTTTCCTTAGAACGGGGGGGGGGGGGGGGGGGGGGGCGGGTTGGTCCTGAAAAAAAATGTAACGGATTACAAGGAATCCGTTTCGTAAAAAATGTAACGGAATTACTTTAAAATTACTCGAGAAAATATGTAATTATTCCGTTACTAAATTACTGAAAAATGTAAGGGGTTACAAGTAATTTCGTTACTTGTAACGGATTACGTACAAGTCTGGTTTCGCATAATCTTTTTGCTTCCCAGCTTTTTGTAACATACAACAATTCCGCTACTAGACTGCAAGCGGAGGCTATTCGTTGAAGGACGCATTTCGGCTGCGCAAACTCGATCAGCAGGAGTAAAGGGCGAAACACATGTACGACCAAACCGTCCGATCCGACGTCCGACCGCGCAATACGACGGTCGGAGGCGAGGGTTTTCAACGCTCTCCGATGCTACGAAAACCCTCTCCCCCCAAGGTCATTCCGGCAGTCCGCACGTCGGATCGGAAGGTTTTCGTCGTACATGTGTTTCGCGCTTAACTGGCAAAGATAAAGCTACGAGCTCGGGACTCTCGCCTTTCAAATACATGATTATTAAAAGACAAGTATTTGTTTGGGTGTTGTAGTAAAAATCGTGAGGAAAACAACAACTATCATATTAACCCTTTGTTTTTCGAGACGTGTTGAGCTTGGTTAATTCCTGGGTGAATTGAGCAACGGGAACGACAGTGTACTTCTATTAGAAATGCCAGGACGTTGGTGGAGCGGTGTCATTTTCATTCTTATCACGTCAGGTCAAGGCCCAAAGTAGTCTCATAAACAAATCAAATCTAAAGATGTCACTGACAAGACTTTGAGTTTACAAAAAACATAAAAACACAAAACCTCCCTCCCCCCCGCGCGTCTTACGTTGGCCCTCAACCTCTCAGGTGTGGGATATCTGGCCCCCACACTCAAATGAGTTTGAGACCACTGCTCTAGGGAGACAGGTTCACTGGAACCCCCGCGCGACCCCCCATTGACGTCACAGCGCACGTGACTCGGAAGAAGGTGAAAGACTTGAGAGGTGCTGAAAGCCCCAGTCTTCGTCTATTTTTAAAATAAAAACTAGGACTTGCAGGCAAAAGCGGTTTTTGTTATTTACTTCCGAAAGGTCGAGACACCAACTTCCAAATTATCTAAGCAAAGCACTGAAATTGTTGCACAGCTCCTTTAAATCAAGATTTCGTTATTCCTTGCTACGAAGCGGGAGATATTGCAATCCTGTCTTGAATTGCGACACTTCGGGTCGTTGAGGAGGAAAGACCTCTCTCTACCATTTATACGCGTGTTTAAACAACGATCCAACACACAGTCATGAGGTGTGCAGCAAGTGTCCCCCCCCACCCCCCTCTTTTTTTTTTTATCCTGGAACCCCCCCTTGGGGAATCCTCTGGATCCGCCCCTTCTCGGCGTGTTATTTTCTGCCATCAGTGTACAAGGTGATTCACGGAGAGGCCAGGCTCCTTAAATAGACCGCGAAATTCAGTTTCGCTACGACTTTGTGCAGCGTTGCCCACAGATGGTGCTTTTTTTTTTTTAAACTTGGAAAGAGCGAACTTACCTGAGGAAAAAGTAAAGAAAGAAAAAGGCTTAGCTCCTATGGAAACGCAGCGACGCCACCGGTCTTCAAACAACACGGCGCCGTTTCGCACGGGAAACAAGAGATGGCGCAACGAACGAGCATACGGCGCCGAGAGCCGGCGCCTTTAGCAGAGAATCTTGATAAGGATAGATAACTGGGCGAGTTGGTGAGAGTTCATGTTGAAAAAACAGCGCGACTAAGACGAGGACACAGAGACGAAGAGGACACAAGACAAAGCGCTGACTATCAACTGGTTTGTATTACACACTAAGGAAGAATGACAATGATATGAAAAACATGGAGTCAAATGTTCGCGCGCTTGCTTGGCGCCTCGTGAAATATGTCCCTTTCTTCTTTTTTCCCCGATCGTAGATTGGTCTTCTTCTTTCTTTCCTCGGGAGCTTTTGTCACCCTGAATCCAAAAACTTCATCTCGCTGGGAGTTAGAGTCACCGATGGTTGGCTCACACACGAACTGTTGTTCTTCGTGATGTGGTAGGCTTCTATCATTTCTCGACATGTTTGGTCGCGGTGTTGAAACAATATACTGGTGTTTTTCGAAGCGTGGTTCGCAGTTTGTGTCGTGTGTAAAAGGCGTGGTTTACCGCATTCCCTTCTCTTGTGGGCACTGGTATATCGGGCAGACTGGCCGGTGCTTAAACATCAGACTAAGAGAGCACCATAGCTCCTTGAAGGGCACCGCTAATTCCCATCTAGCGATACATTGCAGAGATTGCGGTTGCGAACCACGCTTCGAAAACACCAGTATATTGTTTCAACACCGCGACCAAACATGTCGAGAAATGATAGAAGCCTACCACATCACGAAGAACAACAGTTCGTGTGTGAGCCAACCATCGGTGACTCTAACTCCCAGCGAGATGAAGTTTTTGGATTCAGGGTGACAAAAGCTCCCGAGGAAAGAAAGAAGAAGACCAATCTACGATCGGGGAAAAAAGAAGAAAGGGACATATTTCACGAGGCGCCAAGCAAGCGCGCGAACATTTGACTCCATGTTTTTCATATCATTGTCATTCTTCCTTAGTGGGTAATACAAACCAGTTGATAGTCAGCGCTTTGTCTTGTGTCCTCTTCGTCTCTGTGTCCTCGTCTTAGTCGCGCTGTTTTTTCAACAGAGAATCTTTTCGACTGAAAAGAGGCGCGCATTCCGCAGGAGGCGACAGTCGCAGAAACAAAAACAGGCGCGGTAACAACAAGGAACTGCAGTTCCTTTTCTGCTAAAGACGCCGGCTCTCGGCGTCATATACTTGTGCGTTGGCGGCCATTTTCGTTACGACCGCTTGCGCCATCTCTTGTCTCCCGTGCGAAACGGCGCCGTGTTGTTTCAAGACCGGTGGCTTCGCTGCGTTTCCATAGGAGCTAAGCCTATTTCTTTCTTTACTTTTTCCTCAGGTAAGTTCGCTCTTTGCAAATTTTACAAAAAAAAATAAAAATGCACCACTTGTGGGCAACGCTGCGAAAGTATTACCGCGGTAGATAAAGAAACCGAATTTTCCGGTCGATTTAAAGAGCCTGGCGTCTCCTTGTATCACCCTGTAGACCGGCTCAGTTATGACACTGCCCATAGACGTTGTTCGCGCAAGCAATTAACACCCCCCCCCCCCCCCCCGCGTCCCCCGGCCCCCCGTCTCCCCCGTCGTTCGACGCGACACCGTTTTTTGGGAATGGCTACTATGGTTACTGCAGTGTATTCTACAGGGCAAAACAAGGTGACGCCAGGCTCTTTAAATCGACCGGAAAATTCGGTTTCTTAACCTATCGCGCTACGACTTTGTGCAGCGTTGCCCACAGATGGTGCATTTGTTTTTGTAAAATTTGCGAAGAGCGAACTTACCTGAGGAAAAAGTAAAGAAAGAAAAAGGCTTAGCTCCTATGGAAACGCAGCGACGCCACCGGTCTGCAAACAACACGGCGCCGTTTCGCACGGGAGACAAGAGATGGCGCAAGCGGTCGCGACGCCAACTGCCGCCCATAGAGTTATTATAATGTACGCTAGAGGTTCAAGTGGCGCTAGTGTGCTGACGAAAATTGAAGCAGACAGCAACCAGTCCAAAATTGACTTCCGGTAATGCATTTCTATGGGAAAAAGTGAGAGCATTTTCTCTCTGCGCTCGGTCATAAGAGCAAATATCCCAAATAATTCGTACGTACTAGGTAGCTTGGAACATTTCTCAGTCAGGCTGACGAAATAATTGGTCAGTTACGGCGTTTTTCTTTCAAATTCATCGCATTAAAAACGGTGCTAAAACGGCTTCGTACGTGTATTTATGTGCACTGTCTGCTACGACGCGTCCGAACGGAGACATGCTGGGTTGTGATTGTGAACAACGTTTATTGTCAGGGACGTGATAATATAGGCAGCCGATGGTTCGGGTGCAAAGCAGAAAGGGTGGTGATAAGAATGATAAGTACATTGGAGGATGATACAAAGTTTCCAAGAGTCATGACACAGCTCTGATACAGCATTCCTTCCCCCTAGGGGCTACAGCGATCTACAGGCTTCCTTTCTCTGGTTGACCTTCGCAACTCTGGCGGCTGGGTGGTGCTGATGGTTGGTTCTGCAGGTGTTGTATCTTGTACTGCATCTTGTCGAGCGCCTTGCGTTGTCTTTGCCGCTGTCCCTGGTACTTTGAGTGCCAGCGGCTCTCGAAAACGGATCTGGTCAATGTGACGTCGGACTTCTCCCGACGGTGTGTCCACTGAGACCATCCTTGCTCCGGTCGTTGTAGTTACCGTCCCTGGCAACCACCTTTCTCCTTCTCCGAAGTTCCGGGCCCAAACTGGATCTCCGGGCCACAGCTTGCTACGGGGTTCCTGCAAAGGCACCAATGAAGCACCAGGATACGGCAGGCAGGCGTCTAGACGAGATCTGATCTGGTAGCCTAGCAGTCGTTGTGATGGCGAAGAACCGTCAGCCAAAGGAGTTCGGCGGTACGCGAATAATATTTTAGCCAAACGCGTGGCAAGGTTACCATGCGTGACCTTTTTTAGACCATCCTTAATCGTCCTGACTGCTCTTTCTGCTAGCCCGTTGGACTGAGGGTGGTATGGAGCAGTGCGTAGGTGTTCTACGTTACTTCCCGCGAGGAACCGAGAGAACGATTCTGCCGTAAATTGAGTCCCGTTGTCTGTCACGATAGTCTTCGGTATCCCAAAATGGCTCAACATTTCGCGCACAGCTGCTATTGTAGAATCGGCAGTCGAATTCTTCATGGCCACCGCCTCTATCCACTTTGAGTGAGAGTCCACTGCAATTAATATCATGGCGTCCGACACCGGTCCCGCGAAATCCAGGTGTAATCGCGACCACTTTTCTCCCGTCTCCGGCCACTTCACCGGAACATATGATGGCGGCATCGGCCGTGCCTGGATACACGCACTGCAACTCCGGGAAAGATGTTCAATCTCACCATCGAGCCCTGGCCACCAAAGAAGTGTCCGCGCGACCGCCTTCATCGCCGATGCTCCTTGATGGGTCTCGTGCAGCATTTTTAGCATCGCTCCACGTGCTGTCTGTGGCACGACGACCCGGTGCCCCCAGTAGAGCAAACCCTGGGCTACGGTGAGTTCCAACTTCCTGTGAAAGAAGGGTTGCATTTGTGGGTCGTCATCCTCTAAGTGCTTTGCCCATCCGTGCAGCACATAGTCTTTCACCCTGGACAGTAGCGGGTCCTCCGAGGTTAGTGACCGCAATCGTTGTGCCGACAGAATAGTATCATCGAGTTGGTTAACTGAAAGCACATATTCTGGCAGCTCGTCCGTCTCCTTGTCAGGAACATTTATCGGTAAACGACTCAGTGCATCAGCGTTCTGGTTCTGGGGCCCCGGCTTGTATTCTATCTTGTACTGATATGCCCCTAGCAGTAACGCCCAGCGCTGAAATCTGGCCGCCGCCATGACAGGTGTAGGTCTGTCCTCCCTCAGCAACCCTACCAATGGCTTGTGGTCGGTAACGAGCGTGAAGTCCCGCCCCAACAGATAATCTCTAAATTTGGTTACCCCAAACACTAGGGCTAATGCTTCACGCTCAAGTTGCGAATAATTTCTTTCCGCCTTTGATAGCGTCCGGGACCTGAATCCTATTGGTCTGTCCACGTGTCCGAAACTATGGGACAACACAGCCCCTACCCCATAAGGCGATGCGTCACACTCGAGACGTAAAACTTTGGACGGGTCAAAATGCGTAAGAACATCTGCCGTACATAACACCCGCTTGGCCTTTCTGAAAGCATGCTCCTCTGCTTGGTCCCATTTCCAGCGTTGATTCTTCGCTAGAAGGTTGTACAGTGGCGCCAAGAGGGTAGCCATGTTGGGCAGAAACTTGCTGTAGTAGGTCAAAAGTCCTATAAAAGAGCGGAGTTCACTTACGTTCTTCGGGCTCCTTGCTTCCATTATAGCCGCCAGGTTCTTTTCCGTAGGGTGCAGGCCGTCCTTGTTGATGCGGTGCCCGAGATAGCAGACTTCGTCCTGCCAGAAGTTACACTTCCCTCTGTGCAGCTTGACTCCGTTCTCCTTGAAACGCTGCAGCTCCTGCTTGAGCACGCTCCTGTCTTCCTTTCTTCTCTCCGAGACAATGACGTCATCGAGATACGCTTGTACGCCGTGTATTCCTCGCAGCAGGCTCTCCATCTTGCGCTGGAAGATAGCGGGTGCGGAAGAAATAGCGAATGGCAGCCGGTTGAAACAAAAGAGACCACGGTGCGTGTTGATGACGGTTAAGTTCTTGGATTCGTCATCGAGTGGCACTTGATTGTACGCATCTCGAAGGTCCACCGTACTGTACCTGTCGCCCCCATTGAGTGCCGCGAACAGGTCGTCGATTACGGGGAGTGGATATTGCTCGGTGCAGCAGGCTGAGTTCACGGTCAACTTAAAATCGCCGCAAATTCTTATGGTCCCATCCTTTTTTAGGACAGGGACAATTGGTGTTGCCCAGTCCGCGTGAGGAACCGCAGAGATAACACCGTTTTTGACAAGTCTGTCCAGTTCATTAGACACTTTGTCACGCATGGCGTATGGCAGAGGCCTGGCCTTGAAAAACTTGGGTGCAGTTCCTTCTTTCACATATAGATGCGCTGGCGGGCCTTTCAGCAAACCCAGTCCGTCACTGAACAACTCCTCGTATTCTGACAGTAGTTCTTTCAGCTCGACGTCCTGCGCAATTTCGGTTGCCGCCGTTAACTTCAAAACAGGTGTTCCAAGACAGTTCAACTTTTGTATTAAGTCGCGTCCACATAAACTTGGACCTGCGCAGTCTAGGATTGTCAGTGTCGCCGTCACCTCTTGGTCCCAATACTTGACGGGAAGCGTAAGCTTACCAGCCACCGGCAGCTTCCCCAGGTAGCATGACAACTTCAGTCTCGAACGTTCCATCTTCGGCCAGCCATGGCAGTGCCTGTCATATACGTCCTTGAGATTACGCAGACCTGCGAACCTGTATCCACCTCCTTGACGATGTCGGCGCCACCCCAACAAAATTTCCTGCGCACAGGTGCAACCAACTGTTCGTCTGTTGAGAGATACGACTTCAAGGTCAACAGCTGCAGTGCCATGTCGCTCTCATCGCTGCTGGCTTCGTTTCCGTGTATCGCACAAGCTTTGGCTTGTTTGGCACTGTTAGCGCGAACACGACGTCGGCGCTTTTCAGCGAGGGGGATATACGTGCCAAACGAATGAAGAGCATCTGGAAATTAAGAAAGACGGCAAGAACTACGCAGTTACGCTGAATCAGTAACTACACGTGCATGTACGATCAAAATAAATTGAAGGCCACGCAATCTATTCCGATTTTAAATAAGTAAGTACCGCTTTATGCTTTCTGCTCTGAGCGAAGCTGCTTGTTGTGCTCTTAAAGGGGCACTGACACCCCAAAGGTCGTATTTATTTTTATTGTCTAAAACGATGCAAGTTGCAGTCATAAACACGCAAAAAAAACCGCATCGCGAAAAAAAATTTTCTCGCGCGCGGGCGCGCGCCTTTTTATTTTTGGCGTTTGATTTTCCCGCTTCTCGCCTCCTCGCTTCTTTTGATCAGTGACGTCAAGAATCATAAAATTTAGAAGCTTTGTAAGCGACATCTCTATAACATTTAATTACGGCAATCCTAAAACATGTTTTTTAACGCAATTACGAACGCACTACGGCCCTTCTTTTTGAAATACCGAAAATCTGGAGTTCGTTGTGGCGCCGTCTCCTGGATTTGCATCCTCCAACGGAAAACAGGCGCACCGCTCAAAACCGGTCCGCCGCAACGCCGGCGCCCGCTCCTTTCCTCCTCGCTTTAGGTCGCCATGGCAACAGCAGGGAGTGGTGAAAGAAAGTAGACTCTCAGGGCTCCGCAATTTTTGACGTCAAGGCACCGGCGCCGATCGCGCGGGAACTTCGAATTCGGCATTTGGAAATTGTTTTTTTACTTCACAAATACTGAATTCCCAAATTTCAAATTTTGAGGGTAATGTCCCGGCATCGTTTTCAATCGTTTCGGATAAAAAAAATATGATTTAGATGTGTCAGTGCCCCTTTAAAAGATCACCCGCACGCTCGAAATCTTTGAGAGCGAGTGCCCGATAAAAGCTGCCCGGCAGAGAAAACAACACGAAGAGGCACCTTTCATAGCCCACGGACTTTATTATCTACGTTTTAAATGCTTTTATCCGCTCATGTACGACGCGGTCATTTTCATATAGTGACAGGACTGGCATATTGTCAATATATAAGCGTCACCGGAATGCTGGCGAGCCTTGAACACACTCTATATTTCTTTCGATTGTAATTTTGCTTCGAATCGTCGCTTGTTTTTACACACCTGCTGCGGAACACACGTTTAGGACTGAAATGTAGCGAAGTTAAACATCGTTCACTGATGAAGAAAAATGCGCTAACTAAAGCAATTACACTTTTAGAGTGTCAATCAAGGTACATACTATTCGATGCGACCCAAATAACCAAATTGTTCCGTGTTATATTCCTGCGAAGAGACAAAATGCACGCGCGTTTTCCCATAGGAGTGCACAGGAGCACCGCAAAAGTAGACTGGTTGCTGTGTGCTTCAATTTGCGTCACGGAAGTCGCATAGACACTAGCGCCAGTTGAACCTCTAGCGTACATTATAATAACTCTATGCTGCCGCCAACGAACGAGCAGACGACGTCGAGAGCCGGCCCTTTTGCAGAAAAGAAACTGCAGTTCCTTGCTGTTACCGCGCCTGTCTTTTTTGTTTCTGCGACTGTCGCCGCCTGCGGAACGCGCGCCGATTTGAGTCGAGAAGATCGTCTGTTAAAAGGCCTGCTCTCGGTGCCGTATGCTTGTTCGTTGGCGGCGTTTGTTGCGCCATCTCTTGTCTCCCGTGCGAAACGGCGCCGTGTTGTTTGCAGACCGGTGGCGTCGCTGCGTTTTCATAGGAGCTAAGCCTTTCTCTTTCTTTACTTTTTACTGAGGTAAGTTCGCTCTTCGCAAATTTTACAAAAAAAAAGCACCATCTGTGGGCAACGCTGCACAAAGTCGTAGCGCGATAGGTTAAGAAACCGATAGGCAACGTTACTAAAACACCTCAGTTGGGGAACTCCCACAGAGACAGCTTTGAAACATTGGCCCCAATCTGTCTCCGAGCACCGAGCTAATGACGAACACAACGCCACCATTTCTCCCGCAGCGGCCACTCGAGGAACTGCACGTTATACTGCTATTTCGGCTTTAAGAACAGATACAGCGGAAGAGGTTACAGGGGTGCCACCCCCGTCTCCCCGGCGGACGCGCCGCGTCGAACTACCCAAGTTAAAATGCACCTAGGTCAGGACGCGCTACCTGAAAGGACCGCTGAGGTATGGTTGTATAAAAACAATATTAATTGTGCCGCAAAACCCTGCAAACTAAAGATTTTAGAAACATAACGCACCCCTCTTTTTGTACTAAACTCCTATAAATTTCATACAAAAAGAGTGTTTTCCGTTTGTTTTTACGCAAAAACAGGCTTTCAAGAAGCTCAAGGTGACCACAGTACAGACAAACGATAAAGAGTGGCGCTGTTGTCGCATTTAGCTCGGTCTCGGTGGACGCCAGCGGCCCTGGCTTCGACGCGAGTTTCCCAACTTAGTGTTTTAGTAACGTTGCCGATAGGTTAAGGCCTCAAGGCAGCTTGCTTGGAGGTCTACCCACTATCCTTCAATCGGAGCCACTCAGATCTCGGAGTTCTGACGTCACGACAACCCCTGCAAAAAGAAGCAAACGAACAAACTTGCGCTCCACATAGCTTTTAGGATAAAATTTACATTTTTCTAGCTTCCTTCGAAAGTCTGAATTTCTGAGTATCATAACGAAAGGTATACGGCGCGTGTAGGGCCTTGGGGAAATTGTTTCATCCCTGGGTCACCGAATAATCGCAGCAATTTTTAGCGAGGAAGCTCCTGCGATCTTTAACCTTTTTTACTAATCGCCAATTTTACGAATTGGCAGTTCTGAAGATTTTAATATAACTTGCTTTCGTTGCAATGGCTTGCATTTGATCGCAGTGTTTTTTGGTTTGTTTTTCAAGTGAAAAACTGGCGTTTGCTCAAGTGACGTATATGAAATGTCCTGCAATATAACAATGCATCAAAACATACTATTAAACTTAGATGCTCAGAGGTGTGTTCGTCATTGTAATTAACAAGTTACAGACGTATTTATTTCTTACGAGTGTAATATTTATTTTCTGTAGCTGGGCCCGTTTTGTGCTACTTAATGTCAGTGTGCTATGATGTTATCATCATGCGTGTATGGTTCTAAATATCCTCTTTACAATGCCTACAAAGGCCAAAATGACGTCAGTACCCACAAATATGGCGTCCAGTGAATACTCCCTATATACGCTTTCAGGCAGTTGTGGATGTTCGCCGAAATAACAGACCTCCCGTTTTTGTTGATTTATTCCGATCACTTCACTTCATCATTGCCACAGCAGGACAGGTCAATTATTGCTCCTTTAGCTGTTGTTGTGTCTTTCTTTCCAGCATAGGCCTTTGTGGAGGCTCGTCAACGCCCGCTTCAGTAGCTCGACATCTCGGTAAGAAAACAGAAGGTCGGCAATGGCGGCTCAATCATCTCCATCAACATCGACATCACTCTTGGCGCAAGTTAAAAGCAACTGGCATTCTCCTTTACCCTTCAGTGGGCATGTGAATGTACTACACTCTTAGCAAAAAGGGTACGGATAGTCCTCCCTTACGGGAGGAACGGTCTTGTAACCTATGTTCCTTTAGAAAGGGAGAAACCTTCGTCCCTGAAGCAGGTGAGCAAAGTTCCTCCGTCGCTTGCATCTCAATATGGCGGCCCCGAATCGAGCAAATCGAGCCCAATAAGGCTTAACGAGGACGCTACGTCTCTTGTACGGGACGAGAGCAGCAGCAAATGAAAGCGTAACACGATCTTTCCGAAAACTGTGTTTATTTCCGAAGCCAGATTCCCCCCACAGGTACAGAAACCTGCGTTTCGAAAGCAGTTACTCAGTCTTCTCGTCGACAGCACTGCGATGTTAAACGGAGACAACCGATACCGAGTTACTTCGTGCACTTTGCGTCTTACCTTTGGTGTTCCTCGAGTCACAATTCCTTCGTCAACCGCACATCACGGAGAAGGGCAAACTCACTCCGCGAAACCAAAAGCCGTTCTCGAAAGTACAA